CCCTATAGTATAAACCCTAAACCCTATAGTATAAACCCTAAACCCTAAACCCCTAAAATGTCCAGGTATCCAGGCCGAGGGGCCCGGCGCCGTGGAGCCCACCGTTTTCTCGGGCGCGCAGGCTTCCGGGATGGGTTTTGAGCGTTTAGGATTACGGGTTTGGGGTTCAGCAATTTGTCTGTGAACCCCAATTTAGAGGCTTGGGGTTACGTTTCGGGTCTCGGAATGTTTACGCAAGATGAGCCTTGCAGAAGTATAACACAATACAAAGGGAATGGGAGCAAAGACCGCCGTCAAAGACTTGCCGGTCTTGACGCTTGAAATCAGACATGCATGTGGGACTGCAGATGACTCGGCTCAGGGTGCTTTTTGACTCTGGTTTTGGCTTCGGGGCGTGGGCTCAAGGCAAGATGCTTCTACATGCAGCTCTCGGCTCTCGCCATTAGCCGTGTCAGATGCCCTGTTTGATGTCGGGGAGGTGCTATTTTTCTATCTACAGACTGTTAAAGACGGCGGTGCAAGCGTGAGCAGTGGCGCCTCAGCTCGTAGAGAACAGCAGCGGCGTTTCGTCAGAATCGATGCCAGGTCTTTTGCATGGAGCAAGTTGCTGAGCAACGCTGGTGTCAGACATACTGGGAGTGCCAAACCGGGTGATGGTATCCTGCCCTGACCCCGAAGCGTTTGCAGCCTAAACCTCTTCAACTCCAAACCCCGGAAGACCTATAGACAGTCACCCCCGCACTCATGTATACCCTGTATGAATCAGGACAGCCGAGCCTTCTTATCCGTCATGCGGCAGCAGCTGTCTTAGCTGCGCGGCCGGGCGCTCGTCATGCCTGTGTCTTTTGGTTTGCACCTATACGTGTTCTTGGCCTGTTTCCTGTTCCTGCGACGATGTGTGCGTGTGTGTGTGTGTGTTCATGTTTCCGGGGTGGTCTGCATCATTTTTGCCCACTGCTGGTTCTAAAGCCACAGGCTTTCCAACTTATAGCTTATGTCGACCATAGGTTGTGTGCATCGTTTGCTTCTTCGGGACGTCTTACACAAAGTCTTGGTTCGTCCTCACTTTGGCTTCAGTATAAGAATTAGAAGAGCAGCCGGTAAAGGCGAAACCAAAGGCATAACACCTGCCCTATCATTGCTCCATTTGCTTTCCAGGGTGGTTTGTCGACATAAAATGGCCAGGTAAGACAATCAAAACCGACCACTAAGCTCTGTTAGAATCGGGGCCCACATGCTTGCGGCGTTTGCCTGGCTTGTTCGAGGCGTAGGTTGGTTGAGGACGCTTCCGGTTGTGTTTATTGTTGAGGGTTTTTGAGTTACACCAGTGTCTGTTAAGTTCAACCACAAGCAAGCTGCCCATCAGTGTAAGTCTTTTGTCGTGCTAGCGTCTGTTTGGAGCTTGAAATCGTCTTGGGTATCGTGCTTTTTCTCGTGGCAGGGAGAAGCGAGGTCTACAACAAAAAGCTGCCGTCCTGGCATCAGAATTAGGCTTATGGTCATGTTTTTAGGGGTTTGGGGGTTTAGGTTTTATAGGGTTAAGGTATGGTCCTCATTAGAATATAGCTATAGTATAATATGATGCTAAAGTGATGATATCCCTTCTAGTCCCTATCATAACCGTACACTTCATGATCATGCCCCTTACAGTCCCGATTGTAACCGTAGTTGAAGAAGGATCCCCCGGGTCGGATTTCACAGTCTCCGGGAGGCAAAGCTCACTGCTTCCTGTCGTTGTTGCGAGATGGGTGACCGTTTAACTTTTAGTGCACCCCCTATAGATCCAAATTTGAATACCCTGTGCAGGATGGGCAGTGCCTCGTGTCCTGAGTTAAATTGGGACAGCAAGTGACGCGAGAGTCCTGAAGAGCAGAAGCGAGAACTAGTCAGTCAGTGCAACAGATGGGGGTCTGTAGTAGTTACTTGGTGATAGTATCCCATAGTATCCCCTTCCTCGTCCCTATACAGCTGCAGTTTAATTAGCTTATACCCGAGCCCCCCCCAGAGTGTAAAGCCGAACGTCAGATGTCGAGGGTGTGCCCGAAGAGAGGATAGCAGGATCAGGAGCTTTGCAATCACCACAAGCAATATTACTTCAAGTTCAAGGACATGTCTCTGAACAGTTGCAGCGTTGAGCTTCCTCGTCAATTCTCGCTGAGAGCTGTGCTATAGGGCAGAAGGACCCGGGGCAATCCTCTCCGCAGAAATGGGGAGGCTGCCGGAACTTTTTGTTGCGCTTTCGGCGTGCAACGACTCCGCAACACAGACTAGATGTAGATGCGCAGAAACTCGAGAACTAGCGAAGACGTGCACCTATGGTCTCGCTCATCAGTGATGGGATCCCAGAGACCCCCAAATCCTCTAGTTCATTGATTTTGAACCAAGTGATAGAAGGTATCCTTTCATCAGGCTCCCTGAACCCGAACCCCCAACCCAACACCTTTCAGCTTAAATACCCTTCTAGCTAGGAAATTCACGGAGCGCGCAACGGCCATGGAAGGTTCTGCAGATGACGGATGGCGGTCCGGAATGCGAAGAGTTGAGGGTACGGGGTTTCAAGATTTTCCCGAATTATGACAATGATTCATAATTACGATCATGATTATTGTTACGAGTGTTACGAGTATGGTCGGTAACTATGGAGCATAGGTGCGCTAGGTGCAGAGCGGCAGTCTTGCCAGCAGCTTGCTGGGGAACTCGGTTTTCGAGCTCTATAGATCTTGAAGCTTCGGATAGGACCTGTGACTAATGGGTTTTGGGCAGACGAGAAGACGGGCTACTAACAACGCCTTCTTAGTGAAGTAAGGAAACCTTCATCCTTGTTTAGAGTAGTAGGATCCTTATCTACTGCCAAAAACGTCAACCTTTAGCTTCCGTTGGAAGCTGGACAGTAAGCCTTCCTCGCATAGACCGCAGCTTAACCTGCCAAGGTGTCAGGCAGAGCTTAGCTGTATCAGACTTCGGCTTAGGGCTTATTTTAGAGGTGAACTTAGGGTTTATTTTTGAGATCAACCTAGGGTTTGTTTGAGAGATTAACTTAGGGATTGTTTTAGAGTTTAGCTTAGGGTTTACTTTAAGGAACTTAACTGCAGGGTGTCCAAATGTCTCTTCTGGACCAGTCTCAGACGCCTGCGATTGAGCTTCCAGCGGCAAGCGTATTGCGACCTCAGCTCCGAGGAAACGAAAGGCTGAATAAGCTGCAGGTGTCTGAGCTGCTTCGAATCTACGAGCCCCTCTGATCGTTCTTGTATACTTCAACATATCCTCGAGCCCTATTTTAATCCCTAAGCCCTATAAACTTCCCAAACCCTGAACCCCCCATTGCCGCTTCTGAGATTTGTCGCCGCTTCTAGGCTCCCACACAACATCGGTGCCGGCTCTTCGCTAGAATAAGAAGAGCACAGCGGATTAGGACACCCGCCGCCGCAAAACTATGAGCTCAGCACTCGTGTCTACAGGGTTTAGGGTTTTGAGTTTAGAGACCTTAGGACAGTGATATCTGCATCTCTGCTTCTCGCCCATCTTTGCCATATGTTCTAAACCCTGAGCCACAACAGCCTACGTAAACCTATTCAAAGGCAACGAAAACCGGCCTAAATTTAACTCCTGAACCCTAAACTCCTAAAGATTGCCACATATTTACAGACAAACTCTGCATTTCTTGCAGGACCTGTATCTGCCATGGTTGTCAGGATCGTGTTGGCGCTGCTTTTGGCAGTCTCTATCTCGGCCGGAACCGAAGAATTCCGCTGCAACAAGTTTACGATTTAAGTCTTAGAGTTCCGGGATTAGGGTTGCGTAGGGTTCACTCGAAATTGCACCACCTCCCGGCATTTCCAGCCAGAAGCAAGGAGCATCGAGAAGTTCGAACCAGGGCCAACATCTCAACACCCCACCCCAAACAGTTGCTTCAGGTTCTGGGCCTACAAACCCTGAACCCCGGGCCCTGGATCCTCGTGGCCCTACCTGAACCTTCCTTTTTAAACTCGCTATGCTTTGTAGAAGAACCTTGCAAAAACAACGGGGGTACGTTGGCCCTTGAGGTAGAAACTCTACGAGCCCAGCCACGGTAGCATGAACCCTATAAAAAAACGACAGGAAGGATCCCTCAAAAGAGCCTTTATTTTATGTTGCTGAGGAGTTTGGGGAAGCCATTCCGGTCGAGTTCGTGAACGGGACTCCCGGGGGAAATTCTGGAGTTCGGGGGTGCGAGCGGTTTTAGGGTTTAGAGTTGTTGCCCCCGGAACGGATCAAGTTTGA